TGCACTGAATTCGTATATATTAGTTTCTCTCTCTCCTAGACAAACGCCAGCGAACTAGAGACAAATATAGATTCAATGTCAAAAAATGGTGAATTAATGAGAAAAAAAATTATTGAAATGAATGAATCAAAAATTATGATGGAAAATATGACGATTAAATTGAATGAAGAAATTGGCCGTTTAATGTAAAAATAAGAAATAATAGTCGCATCTACTTTTTTAATCTATATTGATTTATATTTCTAGTAACGATCTGGCAGATGTTGAATATAATTTACAACTAATGGAAACTTCTGAGCGTGATTGTATAAAAATATTACAGCAGTGTTTAAGTCGAAAAAAAATATCGGAAACAAATCAAAAACAATTAATGCAAGAGAGAACAAAGTATTTAAATGACAAAATTGTAAGTGTGTGAGACAAAGAACCGTTTTTTATCATAGTTGAGAGAAAGAGGTTAGAATAGAGCATAAAAGAAGCACATTACAAAACAATACTTCACACTCTACTTTAACGAAAATAAAAGTGTAATCTTGAGCCTCTCTAATCGTCGTCAGTTAATTGTGAACGGAATAAGAAATGGTAAATAGCAGTGGAAGAGAAAGATTTGACTTTTTTTTCATTATTAAAGGAGTCTTTTTAGTAGAAATTCATTCTTAGCGGAATTTCTTGAGTCAAAATTTCCACTCCTTCAATATTTTTAGTAAGATGCTCACCCAACGTCTTGGTAGTAAATCGTAGGAAATTAAAGAAATTTCAAGAATCCAACACCTTGAACGTCTTAAAATTTCTTAACTTATCACGATCTTGGGTGATTGAATCTTATATCCAAGATCTTGGAAGTTCTTCAATTACCGTTTTGTTTTACACTGCTGTTTGTATATAAGTGCGAATAATTTCCTACTTAGAATAACTTTGAATCTTCCTTCTCCTTTTTGAGTATAGCTGTCTATGATTATATATTGTAATAAATCTGATTGCTGTTGGTGTCAGTGGTCAGCACGAGTCGTGTTTTTGGTTGGATCAAGCCGAGTCGAGTTGAGCTGTGTTAGTCTAGAAGCTTTGCAGGAGTAGTCGGACCTGAGATGAGATTTTTTCTTGGGTATTATAACATAAGAAACAGTCTTGATCATCGAGATTGAAAAAATAAGAACAAATAAGTCATGGAAATATAAATGTTAGACTTGTGTTAGAAGAAGTATAACTTACGTTTATACCAGTTTGTCAGCAAAAGAAGCATTAAAAATTCAAAAATTTGTAAAAAAATTGTAAAGGATCAGACCGGGTTCCACTTGAGCTACAACCTTTGTTCGTCGGGTTGAGCTGGGCCAAAAAAATCCGGTCCGTGTCGAACTCTGGTGACTGTTATAAGTTACATGAAAACAAAATGTCAAGAAACTTTTTCAGGCAAGTTATTGAAATTTCTGCTCATGAAATCTTGACTAAGATCTTCAGTGAAATACTCAAGAATTCAAGATCTTGCACAAGATCTTGAGTACAAGAAGTTTCACTAGGGAATATTGTTTGAGATATCAGAGTAATGCGCTTTTACAATGTTTTCATTATATTCTACGAAAAAGTAATGACATTCGAACTATTAATAGTGACCCATTTAGAGGAACAAATTGTTCAGACTATCATTTGATTAAGTATAAGTCTGAATTATTCAAGAATGATAAGTCTGTTTAGATGACAATTGATTTTGCTGAAAACAAATATGTGTTGCACGATTCTATCCCATAGAAAAGATATCTCACTTGATTTGTATGTATTCAAAAGTGCAAATAAATGACTTTTGTCGAGTTTATATCAGTTTAATCTCAATATACAGCTATATTTTTGAACATATCGAGTGACGCTCTCCCTAGTGAACTTTTTATTCAAGCACATGCCATACCTCAGGATTTGTCTCCATGCACATGAGTTTCTTATTCATGCAAAACGCTTGAGGTACGTGCTTGACTTTCTTGTCTCATGCACTTGAGTTGCTTGAACTATGTACATGAGGAAAGAAATATCTAAACCAATGTGGATACTTAAGAAATTCATGCGCTTCACTCAAGATAGTAAAGTGCTTGAGATAAGAATTTTGCTATTTTTATTACAGAAATTCAAAGAAGTCATATACTCGGGAAAAAAACTTCACTAGGATTCTGTGTTTGGTGCTCTATCTGAAGATGTTTTTTGTTCTAGAAATCAATTGAGGACGAACGCTTGAATAATGAACAACTAGCGAGTAAATACCGAACAGTATTATATCGCTTATACGACGTTAAATCTCATGCAATGACCTATTTTGAACATCGTCTGGATCTGTTCAATAAAATGAAAGATACGAGGCAATTGATCGAATTACAAGGACGTTTACATAATACAATGAATTTTTATTTTGACAAAAAAGGTACTGTTTTCAAGATTTTCTCCTGAAATAATCGTCTCGTCGCTTTTGTTTTACTTTTAGCTAATTTGGTCGAAAAGCAGATAACGTATTTGAATGCGTCTAGTCAAAATAATGGACTAAAACTAGGTTCAATTCAAGATACGATACAAGATGCTGTTAGTCAAGTAACATCGTTTTTGACTAATCAGGTTGATTTCAATCTAATCCATCAACAAGCAATGGAAAAGGTTTGTAAAGAAGAACTTGTTCAACAACAAAAACAACAAGTCAAAGTGTAGTCACGTTGGCAGTTGTATTTTTCTCACATTCGATAATAACTTTCTCTCATTTTGTATAGATATTATTTGTGCCTTTTTAAGATCTTTCTCTTTATGTGCCTTTATATTTGATACTGACTTTTTTGATTATTTTTTTCTTTGTTAAATTTTTTACTTATTTTTTTATCATAGAACTTTTAAAAAGACAGCATGAGAATGTATATATGGCGCTATATGAAATTCCTGAACGCAATGAAAACTTGTAGAGAATCTAAGCACATGAATATCACACCATTCTAAAGAGCACACCTTTGGCTTCACGTTTGTCTAAAATCTTTTCATCATGGCCAACTTGGAAAGAAACAAATTCCATATGACATAAGTTTTGCATTGCTCCACAAAAATCACACCAACTGATCCTTGTATCTTTTCAATCAGTTAAATTATGCCAAAAATGACTGGGAAAAGGAAGAATTACGACTAACAAGAAAAATTCATGTAGAGCTTATCAAATACTGATTATATGAACTAATTTCAAAACTTGTCATTGGTAAGGTTGTGAGAGTGTGGCGACTGTAACGTCCAGCAGATCAGAAAAACCATCCGAGAGTGCGGCGAGGACTTGGAAATAGATCCTCTTCCAGGATCCGCTCCCTGGAAAAATTGAAACTTCAATTCCTCGATATAAGGGTTCGAGGGACCATCGATTTAAGGCCTCAGAATAATTATTGAGCCTTCGAATAGAGATATACGGAGCTCAAGCAACGATAAAACTCCGCTCGAGAAGTACGGTCACGGCTCGAACTTCTCGAAGTAATGTGACCTTTTCTTTGAGATCTGCACTCTTCTGTATTTTCTGCGATTTTTCTTGGACACTCAAAACATGTCACACCATTCGGGGACTCTTAGTGCATGGATAGGACTACATACGTTTTACGATGTTATACAGTGGTTGACTTACAGTTTTAGGATGTCATAAGTTTGAGAGAATGTAGAAGAGAGAACAGTTTTCTACACATTGAATCTTCTGAAATTGAATAAAAATCTTCTGAAAATCTTTAGCCGATTTTGAATCAAATCCAAAATGCCGAGAGCCCCACACAAGTATCTCTTTTTTCCCCAATGCATAAAAAGAAGAAAACGACGATCTCGAATGTAGTCGTAGTAACATTTCGAAATATAATTTGAAACATTGATAATCTCACCCATCAAACCAGTCGTTTATTTCTTTTTACTGATTTATGATCCTGTTTTCTCTCTATCCGATGAATCTAATGTCGTTATACAATTTCTAAGTGGTGGTATCCCTAGTTGAAACTCCTGGCAAAACTCCCAAGGACTCTCGCACGGGAGTTCCTTCAAAGTTCCACCCAACTCTCTACGGGATCGCGGCAGGGTCTCATGATATGATTCCTGGGGGACTTTTGTCGGGAGTTTCAACTAAGGATCTCAGTTTGCTCATTGAAATCACCAATACTCGTGGTGAATCAAGTTCGCGAATAAACGGTGCTGACATTTTACTAGTTACTATTTGTTTCATAACTCTTTTGTACAAAGTGACGCCGAAGACATGACTAGAATACTGAAGGCGGTCATGAGTCAATTCTTAGTGAGTAAAACGTCCATTATGAATCAGTGTATCATCTTTAATTTCCCGTTTTCCAATCCTGATTCACACGTTTGTTTGCAAGTAATATATCCTTAAAAAAGGTTAATTGGAGGATTTTCGATCTCTGCAGATATTTTCTTTATAATTTTGGCGTCAATTTTGTGAAAACTTAACTATCCAATGAGCAGTCATCGATAGCTGTAAATCTTGGCATATTTCATTTTCTTTAGCAATTAAACTCACTAAAGAAATTATCGCAGTCGTCGAAAGTTGTTACCACACTTCACTTTCTCTAGTAATTACACTCACTAAGGAAACTATAGGAGTCATCAATAGCTGTAAATCTCGGCATATTTCATCTTCTTTAGTAATTAAACTCACTGAAGAAATTATGGGAGTCATGGTTAATGCTAAATCTTGGCATATTTCATTTTCTTTACGTTTCATACTCACTAAGGAAACTATGGGCGTCATCCATAGCTGTAAACCTAGGCACATTTCATTTTCTTTAGAAACTAAAGTCCCTACGGAAACTATGGGAGTCATGGTTAATGCTAAATCTTGGCATATTTCATTTTCTTTACGTTTCATACTCACTAAGGAAACTATGGGCGTCATCCATAGCTGTAAACCTAGGCACATTTCATTTTCTTTAGAAACTAAAGTCCCTACGGAAACTATGGGAGTCATCGATAGCTGTACATCTTGGCATATTTCATTTTGTTTGAGAACTATGGGGGTGATCGACAGTTGTAAGTCTTCGGATATTTCAGTTTAATTCAATGTAATTCTTCGGATAACTATGGGAGTCATGGATAATGCTAAATCTTGACATATTTCATTTTCTTTACGGTTCAAACTCACTAAGGAAACTATGGGAGTGATCGCTAGCTGTAAATCTTAACATATTTCATTTTATTTACCAATTAAACTCACTTAAGAAATAATGGGAGTCATGGTTAATACTAAATGTTGGCACATTTGATTTTCTTTACCAATAAAACTCACTAGGCAAACTATGGGAGTCATCGATAGTTGTAAATCTTGCCATATTTCATTTTGTTTAGCAATTAAACTCACTAAGGAAACTATCGGAGTCGTGGATACCTGCAAATCTTGGCATATTTCATTTTCTTTACCAATCAAACTCACTAAGGAAACTATGCGGGTCGTCGATAGTTGTAAATCTTGGTATTATTTCATTTTGTTTAGTAGTTAAACTCACTAAGGAAGTTGTGGGAGTCATCGGTAGTTGTAAATCTCGGCATATTTCGATTTCTTCGGTAATTAAACTCACTAAGGAGATTATGGGAGTCATGGATAATGCTAAATGTTGGCATATTTCATTTTGTTTACGCTTGATACTCACTAAAGAAATTATGGGAGTTATTGATAGTTGGAAATCTTCCGATATTCGATTGTCTTTAGAACTAACGTTCACTAACGACTTGTGGTCGTTTTGCATGGTGAATAGTATGAAAAATTTAGGGAAAAAGTTGAGTGGTTATATATGTAGACGATGCATTTGTCCTTCCTGTTTCCCTTTCTGTTGCACGCGCTTTATTTCAGCTCTGAGAGAAAGCAGAGTTCGTTGTTTTTGTTTTTGAAATCATCGTCGAGAAAAGGAAAAAACCGTTATTTTTGATTTAGTGCGTTTTTTCTCAACTATTTGACTATGTGCACGTAAGTTTCGATAGTCAGTTCGCTTAATTTGGAACGTGTTTAGTAGCATACTCAATTTGTTTTTTTAGGTTAAAGTTCGTTATTGCTCACGACTAACTTTCCGATCAATGTAAAGTAATTATAAAGACTATCGAGTCTTTCAGCTACGAAAGTGTGTGAGACTCTATGTGATAAAACTTTCGTCCATGATAATGAAGTAGCATATGTCTGTTCGAGAAAAATTAGGTTTTTAGAATTAAGAAGAAAAAGTGTTTCTGCTCGTGGGAAAAGAAACAGTCCTTTGTTATATATGTGCTATTTGTTTAGATGATATTTCTTTATAAGTAATGCATAAAAGGGGGCGGCCCACCAAAGGACCTGGCAAAGAGGATTACATTAATGCCATTCTCTCCCTTACAGCAAATGAACTCCAAAAGCTTAGTACTGATAGCTACTCAAAAGAAAATACCGTATGGACGACGTTAGCTGGACAATTGAATGATAAAAATCGACAAAAATTATATACATGATGGCGTGACAATTATGGAAATATAAGAGGATTAGAGAAACAAAAATTACAAGAATATGAGTAAGATAAAAATACGCCTCTATGCAAATTAACATGTGTCCTTGTCTGATTATATTTTAGATCAAAGAAAATATTAGATCGTTCAACAAATATTAATAATAATAATGCAACAGATACCGACATTAATATCTCAACTGTGTGTACAAACGAGCGCGCACTTCCTTTCACACGAAATGGAAATTCAATAAAAGAAACAGTTCGAGTACTTATCAATAAATTTATTATTTTTTTGTAATAATATCGTTCTTGTTCTAATGTTTTAGATTAGTCCTATGACTACCACCATTCTTGAAAAATATAAGCTTGGTATAATTGCAGTTGATCTGTTGAATACCATGTTTGTGAATCAAAAGCCTGTATATATACTAATCATCTTCTCCATCGTCGATTATGTCAACTACGTGAATGTACGTCTATTGAATTTATTAATGTTAGAATTATAAAAACTCCAACAACCGTATTATCATCATATGAAAACGAGAATTTATTTGTATGTTTCGCTTACGCTTGGTATATCAGCTGTCATTCTCAAACTGATTATATAATGAACCTCAGTATATTGAATTTGATTTAGGTTTATTAAGAAATGATGTAAATTTGTTGCTGCTAAACAGACGAGACACGTTGAATTATAAAGTCCATCCAGATGATGGTGATAAATTGAATCATTGTTTTGAATTTCGTATTGAGCTAATATGTGATTGTAATTTACCATTTGATGACACTGTATCAGCGTGTATTTATTGCGATAAGCAAATACATGATTCTTGTATTCACAATCATCAAAAATTTAGCTGCGATGGGGTGAAACAGTGGGAAACTGTAAATGAGTTAACAACACCAGCAATAAATAATATTGATAATCGGATTTTGCTTGAATTTGCGGAGAATTTAAATGATTCAGGTAATGTATTCGAGGATATTCAGTATATTGATTCACCAGAAAAAGCTCAAGATGATGGAGAGGACAATGGATATGGTGAGATCGAGTAGCTGACTGTTTCTTCACTTTGCTGAGATATTTTTATACTTTCAGACGATGTCAGTGTTTGTCAAGGTGAAATTGACACAGAGAAATATATTGAACTGATTGAACCTATATATAATCCACCTTCTGATAATTCTATTAAATATATTGAAGAAAAACTCAAATTAATTCAGAAAGCATCAAACTTAATTAACATTCATTGTCTATTTAGCGATTTACAAAATATTCGTTCTACAATATTACAACCATTATCAACTGGTTTGCATAAACTGATAATCATCATCTTATTTGATGGCCAACATTGGTTAACTATTGTGAATTATAAATCAGCTCGCCATTTTACAGTATTTGATCGACATTTCACTGGTTTTAGCCGACGATTAATATGCATGTTATCTAGAGCGGTTAATTTTACCTGTTATACACATTATCGTGTAGAATTACTACCAGTCAAACAATGTCCAATTGACGAAAAAACAGATATTTATTTTGCTTTCCCCTATGCAGTACTGGCACTAAAATTATATGCTGATAAAAATAAAAATAAAACTGATGTTGCAAATATTGAGTTTAATATTCAACAATTGACAGATTATTTTGATAATTCTTTCAATAAATTAATAATTGGTCGGTTGCCGTTTGATATAGTTTCTCATACAGCCAATGTTCCTTTATGTAAACGTAAGTATTTTCTAACTATATTTTATCTTCCATTATTTCTATTTTAAAAACGCTTTGCTGTGCTTATTAATAGTGAGGTATCAGATTGATTACCGGAATATTTGAATTTTTAGGTATTTTTTATACTATTTATCTTCGATGTTTATGCAAACGGCCAATTATACTTGATAATCCTCCTTATTATGTATGTAAAATTGATAATTGTAATGTACGAGTGCATTATGACTGTAAAGAGCGTCATGATGGAACATATCATTGTAAAAGAATATGGGAGTCGAAAACGTCATCAGAACCGATGGATTATGAGAAATCAAACAGTCTTATTAAAGAAGATCAAAATCAATCGATTAATTCTGCTAAATCTATGAACAACCATAATAACAATAATCAAACAATTATGTTGAAAAATAAAACTGTTATTGATCCAAATATTTCCACTTCATCTGCTACAGCCTCTGTCACAACTAACGTTACACCAACACCTAATTCGGTAAAAAATTTTACGAGGAAAAAATTGCAAATATAGCCAATATTTTTAGTAGTACATAGGATCAATTCAGAGAAAACTTTACCGTTCCGTTTACTAAACAAAAATAATCTGATTTTATTCAATAATTTATTAGTAACCTAAAATATTTTCAAATTTCTTTTTCATCAGAGTTACGGTCTACACGTAAAGCTAATTAATAAACTTTCTGTGCTTTTCAATACAGTGTAAAAGATATTTTCAAGATCAAAACCGCGGAATGAAAAAAGAGAAAAATATTCTAAACAACATTTGATGTAAAGAGTGTTTTAAAATTCAGTAATTATAATTATATTTCTTACTGCAGTTGTATATTAAAAAAAACTTTTTAGCAAGCCTTATGTCACTATCATTCACAAAATAAAAATTTTTTTATATTAAAATCCAGTAACTGTTCTATATTTCAAATATTTTCTTAGACAATCAAGCTAAAATTTGAAGAAACAATAGTTGATCTTTTTAAGACCATACGGTTACAATTTCGATCAGAAAAAAACTGAATTTTTAACTCACTAACATTTAAAAGCTTATTTAAAAATAAAGTTCTGAAGAAGCAGTGGTTTATACAGTCTCGTTCTTTCCAAACATACTCACAGTTACACCTCTTTTGTGAATATTCTTGAACTTTTTCTTTTAGAGTACTCACACTTGTATGCATTTAAATAATGAAGATTCACATGAATTGAGTAGTGATCAACTTGAAACAATACGTGTGCTGCTTGACCGGTCCGATCATTCACGTATAGTTAAATTTGAAATTAAACTGGAACACCAATTCATAACGTTGGAGGAACATCTGGAATTAATATTATTAGAAAAAACGAAAAAAATTAGTGATAAAGAAGCTGCAAAAGAAAATCTGTCTTCACCTCGACGACATCTAGATTGGACTTATATAATGAACCGTTTTTATATGATCAAAGCAAACGGGTATTGTGTATTTGCATACAAAGGACATACATGGAATAAGGAAAAGTCATCCAACAAACAAAACTTAAATGATGTTATTTTTTCTGCTCGAGGTTATGTACATTCACCGACTGTCCATGTACATTTAAAATTACTCTATCACGTGACCGTACATTAAAATAAAATTTTAGTGGTAATTGTACACACAGTACATTAGAAATTCGAGCTCGTTATATAAGAAAAATTCAAAGAAAAAATCTTCAGCCATAATTCAAAAACTTAGTAGCGAAGCCAATGTAGTGTTATGTGATGATCCAAATGAAAAAGAAAGTCTACAAAAAATGTCTAGAGAATAAAAATTAAGGCCTTTGAGTAGTCACCCATATGCTGGTAAATCAGTCTGAGATTGTTGTATGTCGTAGCCACAGATGGATGGTTCGGTCCCAGTGTTTTCAACTGAAGTTCCAGTGTCTTTTCAGAATAACTCAAGGCCTTCGAGTAGTCAACCATCTGATAGTAATCATTTCCAAGATTGTTGTATGTCGTAGCCATGGATGGATGGTTCGGTCCCAGTGTTTTCAACTGAAGTTCCAGTGTCTTTTCAGAATAACTCAAGGCCTTCGAGTAGTCACCCATCTGATAGTAATCATTTCCAAGATTGTTGTATGTCGTAGCCATGGATGGATGGTTCGGTCCCAGTGTTTTCAACTGAAGTTCCAGTGTCTTTTCAGAATAACTCAAGGCCTTCGAGTAGTCACCCATCTGATAGTAATCATTTCCAAGATTGTTGTATGTCGTAGCCATGGATGGATGGTTCGGTCCCAGTGTTTTCAACTGAAGTTCCAGTGTCTTTTCAGAATAACTCAAGGCCTTCGAGTAGTCACC